CAGGCGGGTCTCGAACTCGCGGGCTCAGGCCATCCACTCACCTCAGCCTCCCAAGGCGCGGGATTACAGGCTGAGCCACCGAGCCCGGAGTAAATATGCTATTTACTAGAATTTTCGGCAATCTGAAAACTGGCATTCTTGACTTGCTAGGTGTAACCTAAATACTAGTAGACTTCATAACTTAGGGCTTTAATTTACTGGTATGGCTGTCTCCACTGTGATTGTCCGGCTCCCTGGAATGTGATTAGCTACCACCATGGTAGTACCAGAGGTGAGTTGTGCAGCTTGAATGAAAGGGTACAGCAGCATTCACGGTTTACTTGTGCTCAAAGACAACCAGAAATTCAAGGAAGGGATTTCACTGAGAAGTATAATTTTAAGTTTTTTCAGTGACAAATCTGTTTTCCTAGGCTTGCTTTAACTACTTGAGGAACTGGTGAACAAGTTTACTTCCTTGCCTTAAAAAAAAAAAGGGACTTTCACTACAGAAAAAAGCAAAATATAGCCCTGCATGTATGGGAAAGATGGCTGATGTCACTGAGAAAAAAGATAATAGCTGGATAAGATAAAATTAGACAAACATAATGGGAAACTGGGTTTTTTTTGAAAACGGTACAGAGGTTCCTCAAAAAATAAAAATATAACTACCATATGAACCAACAATCCCACTTTGGGGTGTGTACTCAAAGGAGATGAAATTGGGGAGGTGGAGGTGAGAGGATTGCCTGAGCCCGAAATTTCGAGGCCATCCTGGGCATCTTGGCAAGACCTCATCTCTACAGTATCCTGAAGGGATATTTTTAGTCCTGTGTTTATTGCTGCCTTATTCACATGGGCTAACCTAACTTAGGAAACAGCCTAAGTGTCCATCAACAAATGAACGGATAAAGAAATGTGAGCTATATATAGTGAATATTATTTAGCCTCAAAAATATAAGGAAATAGCCTTCCTCAGTGGCTCAGCCTGTAATCCTGCGCCTTGGGAGGCTGAGGTGAGTGGATTGCCTGAGCCCGCGGGTTCGAGACCTGCCTGGGCAGGCGAGACCTCATCTCTACAATAAATCAAAAAATCAGCCGGGCGTGGTAGCGTGTGCCTGTAGTTCCAGCTACTTGGAAGGTTGAAGCGGAAGGATCGCCGGAGCCCAGCAGGTGGAGGCTGTGGTGGCCGGGAGCGGTCACTGCACTCCAGTCTGGGTGACCCAGTGAGACTCTGACGCAAAAAAAAAAAAAAGGAAATCCTGTCATTTGCAGCAACATGGAAATACTGTGTGATCTCACTTATATATGGAATCTAAAGAGGTTGAACTCGTAGAATACCAGTTACCACGGCCGGGCAGCCTGTAATCCCAGCACTTTGGGGGCTGGGGCAGGAGGATTGCTTGAGCCCAGGAGTTCAAGACCAACCTAGGCAACATAGTGAGACTTCATCGCCACAAAAAATCCAAAAATTAGCTGGAGGAGGGAGGCGTTGGCTCACACCTGCCATTCCAGCAATTTGGGAGGTGGAGGTGAGAGGATTGCCTGAGCCCGAAAGACATCTTGGCAAGACCTCATCTCTACAGGAAATGAAAATATTAGCCAGGTGTGGTGGCACATGCCAGTAGTACCGGCTGCTTGGAAGACTGAGGCAGAAGGATCACCTGAGCCCAGCAGGTTGAGGCTGCAGCGGCCGTGATCGTGCCACTGTACTCCAGCCTGGGTGACAGAGTGAGACTCCAACTCAAAAAAAAAAAAAGAATTTTTAACTGTGTATGGTGGCACATGCCTATAGTCCCAGCTACCTGGGAGACCAAAGTGGAAGAATCACTGAGCCCAGGAGGTCAAGGCTGTTGTGAGCCATGATCATGTCACTGCACTTCAGCTTGGGCAACAGAATGAGATAAGAAAACACAAAACAATACAAAACAAAAAGCTACTAGTTACCAGGAGCAAGGAGAGGGGTGGAGGGGAATTGGGAAATGGTGATTGAGGGAGGGAAATCACTATTTGAAAGTTTATGAGTTTTCTTTTCAAACATTTTGCTGTATTTTTCTCTTAAAAATTAGCAGCTGCTGTGGCCCCAGTTTCTATTTTAAATGTAAGGTTAGAATATTAGATGGGTGGTATTCAATGAAGAAAAAGTAAAAACAATAAGTAAAAAATAAGAAAATACATAATTCTACTATCCAGAGGTTACCATACTTATACCTGCGGGTTGTTTCTTGAGGCTTTCTCTTGTGTTCGTTGGGGGTAAATTATATCCCATACTTTACACCCTTGGGTGTGTAAACACCTTTTAAAAGGTGGGCTTATACCCCATGTACAATTTGGTAACCTGCTTTATTTGCAGAATATTTTCACATCATAAGTAGACGTCAGCAACATACCTTTAACGATTGTTATGAATAGTATGGATAGTTCTTTCATAGTTTGTTGAACCAGTCTCCTGTTTTTAGACATCTAGCTTGTTTTCCTTACTTTTCACTCCTATAAACAATATCATACAGTAAATGATTTGTACATCAGAGTTTCCCCATCTCAGCACAAATGGCCGGATAATTCTTTGGGGGACTGTCCTGTGCATTGTAGAATGTTTGGTGACATCTCTGGCCTCTCTTCACCGGATGCCAGCACCATACCCCCCTCCACTTGTGACAATCAAACAAGTCTCCAAGATATGGTAAGTTGTCCCCTGTGGGGCAAAATCGCAACCAACTGAGAAACGCTGTTGTAGAGGAATCTTTTAGCTCTCCCTTAATGCCTTCGCTCAGTTACTGGATATATTTATACTTTAGTGACTTAATCAAAGAATGAGCCATTTTACATACTTTGGTATTAAGTAAGTTACCTTCTGGAAAGGTTGTACCCAAATAATTACTTCCTCCAGCAGTGTAATGAGGATTTTAGTGTGAAGAAACCTGAATTAAATATCAGTTTCATTTTAACTTTTAAAATACTCCCAAACTGTTACAACTGTTCAGTATCTCTATCTATAGTGCTTCTTTACTAGTTTATGTGGTTCTGCTAAAATTATCTTCTGAAGACGTTTGCTGCAAGTATCTGTGTGGTTCTGTGGACGGCCATCTACTGGTCTTTTGCTGCAATGACAACCTACTTTTTCCAGAAGGAAATTTGCAGCAGTCAGAAAGTATACACAGGTGCATATTTAGAAATAAAATAAAAGAGGTAAATGGTCAAATGAGTGTGAATGAATGTTTAGACATGATAGTCATCTCACCTCTGAGGTTTTGCTTTCTGAGGTTTCAGTTAGCTGCTGTGAGGGACAATGAGATAACTGGGGTGTGTGTGGGGGGGAAGGGGGAGGTGAAGGGGGAGGAAGAGAAGAGAGAGAAGAGAGGCAGAGGGAGAAA